GCATCATCAGCATTGCATCATCATCACCACCACCAACACAATCATCATCATCAGCAGCATCATCATCATCATCCTCATCATCACCATCATCCTCCTCACTCTCATCCTCACCCTCACCCTCATCATCATCAGCATCATCATCAGCATCATCATTCGAATCAGCAGCAGCAGCAGCATCCTCCTCTATCTTCTCATCATTATCATCATCATCAGTCCCATCACCAGCATCAGCACCATCACCATCACCATCATTTCCACCCTTCACCATCGTCATCATCGTCATCATCACCACCAGCATCACCGTGACTATCACCACCATTAGCTGCACGTGCAATTTCAGATAAATTCATATCAGAATCGGCCGCGCCATCAGCAACAGAAGCAGCATCATCAGCGTCAGCATCCGTCTCCTTCTCATCATCCTCCTACTCCTATACTCCTCCTCCCCTCCCCACCTCCTTCTGCTCCATCCTCCTCTGCCCTTCCTCATCCTGTCGCTATCGGCATCGCGGTCCACGGCGTCCACGGTTGGGCGCTGCCATCTCCTCCTCCTCCTCCTCCCCTCCTCCTTCTCCTCCCGCTCCTCCTCCTCCTCCTCCCCCTCCTCCTCCTCCTCATCCTCAGACGGTTGTCTTCTAATAGGCCACTTTGCGCAATGGACACAAATTCTTGCGGGGACCTACTAAGAGGGATCTTGGAGGGAGGGATTCTGACAACACCGTTGACGCGCCTTGGGTTCACACCGGTCTCGCCTCCTCCTGCCCCTCACCCCTCCCCGCCCCTCCCCCCCGCCCTCCTCCCGTCGCCGCCGCCGCCGCCACCGCCCTCGTCGCCCTCCTCGCCCTCGCCGCCCTCGCCTCCGCCCCCCGCCCTCCGCGCCTTCACCTGCCCCTGGTATCTGGCGTCGGCCCGGCTCGAGGCGCTGCCTCCCGCCGCGGCCGCGTCCAGCCCTGGCGGCGGCGGGAGGGGGCCGCCGGGCGGACGACCGCGGCGGCCGCGGCGGAAGAGCACGAACGGCGGCGGCGGCGGCGGCGGCGACGGCCGCGGCGGACGAGCACGAACGGCGGCGGCGGCGGCGGCGGCAGCGGCGGCGGAGAGGGTGAGGAGGGGCGGGAGGGCGAGGGGGCCGAGGGAGGACGCGGGAGGGGCGGCATCTATGTCCACCAGCCCACGACAGCTGCGCGAAGGCCCGGAAGCCTGGGAGGGGAGCCAGCGCGCGGGCGGCCGTGGGAGCGGGAGGGCGACAGCGACTGCACACCGGGCACGCCACGGCGCCGGCCTCGTCCCGCGGGGCGGCCCCGCGAGGGGCCCGGCGGCTGAGCCGTGGCACTGGCAAGTATAGACGACGACAACGACAACGACTGGTAGCACCACCAGGAGCAGCAGCATGGGCAGGAGGAGGGAGGAGGGAGGAAGAGGAGAGGGAGTGGAGGGGAGGGGGAGAGAGGGGAGGAGGGGGGGTAGGAGGGAGGGGGAGTGATCAAGTCCCCAAAAGGGAAGCCTCATGCTGCATCGCTCACCCCCAACCCCCATCCCCCTGCACCAAGGTAGCACCGACACTCCGCACAAGCACTTGCCGCCATCCCACGGATAGCCAACAGTGCGAGGTGCGCCACGTGCTGCAGGCTCGCCGAAGTGCGGCATGCGCGTCACGCGCTCACGTGCGCACGGCGCGCCACGTGTGCCGCACGAACCAGGCGCGCGAGAGCGCCGAGCGCGCCAGGTGCATGCCGACCCCCGCCCTGACTCGGACACAATTCTTGCAAAACGACGGCGCGGTGGCTCACATCAATCAAGCATTGTGCTCTTGTGTGTGCGCCTCCATCATGTCGCAACGCTTCTTTTGACAGGGATGGTGGGCTGCTGGCACGCGGAGTCTGCGCGGCGACGGTGGGGAAACCAAAAGGCACCGATACCGCTAATTACTCTCCAGACCTCTCCTTGGGTGCGTTCGGACCAGGGTTTCGAGGCGAAGCCGGCGGTGGCGACGAGGGCCTCCCAGGAGGCCCAAAAAAGGGAAAACGAGGGAAGGGTAGCGGTATGGGTACCTTGTCCTCCCCCGAGACGGTGGAACGTCGGAACGATGGTTGGCTGCCTGGCAGGAACGCTGCAAGGCGCTGTAAAGCCGACCGCCGACCGCCCTCCGTCGCGCGCCACCTCCGAGAACCGCCACCGCCGTGCCTGGCCGCGTGGCGCCCCTCCTCGGCCGCTGGACGGCTCCCAGACGGCCAGAGGCCCACTCGAGACGACTGCAAGCTGCCCGCCCGAAGACCTCCCTCCCCCCCTCTCTCCCTCCCTCCCGCCCCTTCCGCCCTCCCCCCCCCTCCTCCCTCCCCCCCCTTCCCTCTCTCCTTCCCCCACCTCCCTCCCTTCCCCCGCCCCCCTCCCTCCCTCCCCCCCGCCCTCCCTCCCCCCTCCCCTCCCACCCCCCCCCTCCTCCCTCCTCCCTCCCTCCCTCCCAGCCACCCGAGAATGGCCCCATCGCGGAGGGGACGAGACGAGCCAGGCCGCAGAGGCCGGAGGGGCCCGGGGCCCGCTCGGAATGCGCCTCGGGACCCCTGCCGGGGCCAAGCGCCAGAGGGTCGGTCGGAGGCGCCCTCGCGTCCTCCAGACTCGGAGGCCGGGCGAGGGCGGGCGAGTCCGCGGCTGCCAAAACTTTAAACGGGCTTCCCGGGAGGACAAAACGGATTCCCGGAACAGCAACGCAGCGCACGAACTAGTAGACGGGCTGCTTCCCGGAAGAAAAAACAACAACAAAAACAAACAACAACAACAAAAAACAAATGAAATCAACAACAAAACAAAACAAACAAAAAAAAAAAAAAAAAAAAAACGCTCTGTGTTAGCAGCCACGGGTTTGCCAGCCGTCGCCTGGCTTCTGGCGCACGTCCTCCAGACTGCCCAGGAGACCTCCAAGACGCCCCAAGAGGCCTGCAGATGCACTCCCGAGAGAACCCCAAGAGGCCATGCTCCTGCACGTGATCGCCGCCCTCCTCCTGCTCCTCCTCATCCTCCTCATCTTTCGTCACATCCTCCACCTCCTCGGCGTCGTCTTCCGCCTCCTCCTCCTCCTCCTCCTCCTCCTCCTCCTCCTCCTCCTCCTCCTCATGCGGCTCCTCCTCCTCCACCTTCTACCTCGTCGTGGTCAGCGTCGTCGTCTTCAGGTTCGGCGGCACCGGCCGTAAGGCCTTCGCAATCTGTCCCTGGACCCCTTCCAGGGCTCATCAGAAGCAGGGTCAGAAGGAGAGGTCACACCGCGCAGGTCTTGTAAACTGGAGTACTGCACATAAGAAAGAAGTCATGTCACGCTCGTCAGTGGAAACGATTTTTCGAGAAATCTGTGCAACAGTCCGGATGAAACGAGACCGTCTGCGCATTCGTGGCGCTGGACTACACGTCGACGTCCGAAGACTGCGACGATGTCGGTGTTCTGGGCATCGAGCCTACAACCTGAAGCGTCGCCACGATGGGCAAGGTCTGTGTACATTCGGAATCTGTTCGGGCAGCTCCGACCACCATAAGCACAACCTCACAGAGCGCACTCTGGACGACGCCCTGGGAAAACTCTACGCAGGTTCGAAAATGAAACTGCGCGTAAGGGTCAGAGACCAGCATTTCTCGGAGAGCATGGCAACCCATCTGGATGTCCATGAAGAAATCCTGTCCAGGGAGAAGCATACTTCTGAAGCACGAGCCTTGCACGCACGCCTCAGCGCCGTCGCCGGTGGCATCCAAGACGGTCATGCTGTCAGCGTCGAACTTCACCGCGAGAGGGGTGTAGTCTTGCCTGAGGTCTGCAAACAAGCCCGCGCTTGCCGCAGCGTCTGGAGGCGTACCAAGGCCCGACAAGGACGCCAGCGTCGAGCCCCTCCTGGAACCGCGGCGCCTTGATCTTTTGCTGCGCCTGCTGCTGACCTGGCCGAGCTGGGGGCCCGTCAGGACGGCTGGCAGCTCGCGGTCGATCGTGTCCCGAAAGTCCACGAGCTCCTTCAGGCCGACCAGGTGGTGCTCGGCTGCCGAGGGGCAGTGGACAGGCACGTGGTAAACCTCAACCTTGACGCTGTTGCTGAGGCTGTCGCACAAGCATACGTGGAACACGTTCGCCATCTCCTCGCGTGAGCAACCAAAAAAAAAAGACCCCTAACCCTTTGGGAGGGGGCCGGAGTTGGGGGGGCAAAAAACATCAGGGATAGGGGGTCGTTTCTGCAGATGTATCGAACCACCCCGTCCAGATTCGTTCATCCCTAATGCAAATTCGGGAACCTCAGTGAGGCCACGTCATCGTGTTATTGGGGTTAGGGGTTCTTTTGTTCCCGGTGATCTCGGGGGACGTCAGCTGCACGCCTCGCCGACCCTGGCCAGGCCCATCCCACACGCGGCCCTCCTGGCCGAGCCGGGCGGCGTGGACACGCATCCTGGGCCCAGGATGGACCTGGCCAGGACCGGTGAGGTTTCGGTGGCAACTCATGGGAGCCTCCCATACCATCTCGTCGGCTCTTGCGAATCGGCGCTGATCGACGCTAAATCGGCGCTAATCGGCGCTAAATCGACGCCAGTCGGCGCTAACCGACGCTACATCGGCGCTATCTCATCGACTCCCAGACGCTAAATCGACGCCAGTCGACGCTGACGACAAAATTGCGAGGGTACTCCAGATTTCGTAATAAAAGGGAGGGGGTCTGGACCCTCCAAGACAAGCCATTTCAGACCTCCCCCGTGGGAGAACCCTCCAAAACATCGTCCCCAGACCCCCCCAGGCCCTCCAAGATAGCTTGGAAAAGACCCCCCCCCGAAATGAGACCCCCTCCCTTTATTACGAAATCTGGAGTACACAAGGCTCCCATGATTTGCAACCGAACGAGGTGGATCAATGGACCTCCATTCGGTCCTGGTTATCTGGGACTGGAGCCGTGATGCGCTCCCTCAGGCACTCCCGGTCCTCCTTGCGAGGCAGCGATAGGGGGGGGGGATAGGCATAGTAGGGGGGGGAACATCGACCTGGAATCGGCGATACATCGCCGATAGATCGGCGATAGGCCTCCGACAGGGAAAATCCGCACCTCCCTGGGCAGGCTGAGGCTGTCGGGCCCCTATCGGCGATCGACGGGCGATTGGGGGTCGATGCATCCCCCCCCATGCCCGGCGGTTTTCGGGTCAGAACTCGGCCCTCCGGCGGCCGTTCGGGACGATTCTGGCACCCCTGGAATGCCCTCCGCGAGGCGCAGCCGCTGGAACGCACCCCGAGGAAGGGAAACCTCCAGGAGCCCACGAAAACTTCCGAAAACCTCGACCCTCGACCCCCCATGCCTACTCCGGATTCCATAACAAAGTGGGGGAGGTCACATTCGGGGGGGGGGGTCTAATTTGAGCTGTCCTGGAGGGTTCGGGGGGGTCTGGGCAAAGGGCCGCCCTTTGATGGATAGTCTGGGGGGTCTAAAACTTCTCGTCTGGGAGGGTTGTGACCCCCTCCCCTTTAGTACGAAATCTGGAGTACCTCCCCCTATCGCTGCCCCCGAATCCGGCAGCACGAACGACTCGAGCGCGGCGCCGCGCGAGCACCTGCTGGGGCCGAGGTGCAGCATGCCTGCCAGCTGCGCCGCCTCGCCGGTGAGGAGGAGGTCGCCGTCGAGCTCGAAGGTGGCATCGCAGATGGTGTTCAGCAGCCTCTCGGGTCGGGCATTACAGTCGAGGCGTTGACCTAAGGCACCCAAAATAAGGAACGGGGCCCCTTTTTTCCATGAGTTAAACTTCGAGTTCCGATCGAAAACACAAGGAAAACCTGAGGCAACCTGCGAAACAATTAAGGAGCACGGAGCCCCTCCCCAACGAGAAGGGTTCCTTCTTCAGCGCCCCGACTGTAGGTCGGGCGCGTCCCCCTACAGGCGGACTCTACACGAAAGATAAGAACTGCTCAAAACATGCTCAAACATAGTCCAACAAAATAATCGAAACATGCTCAAAAATAGTCAAAACATCGCATATGGTGTTCAACAGCCTCTCGGGTCGGGCAACATCGTGAGAGGCTTGACGACCTCTGCCGTCCTTCGGCTCGCGCCGGAGCGGCCGCCAGCTGCTCCCATTCTCCCTGGAGACCTCCGCATTTGCCTGGACTTGCCTGGATTTGTCTCGATGTACCTGGGTTTACCACGATTTGCATCGATGTACCTGCATTTACCTGGATTTGCTCCCATTCTCCCTGGATACCTCCAGATTTACCTGGACTTGCCCAGATTTATCTCGATGTACCTGGGTTTACCTGGATTTGCCTCGATGTCTCTGCATTGACCTGGATTTATCTAGCTTTAGGTCGGGCATGTCCCCCTTCAGGCGGACGTTGCACGAAAAATAAAAAATACTCGAAACCTGCTCAAAAATACTCCAAAAATGATCAAAAAATCGTCCCCGACGATGTTTTGACTCTATCTTTGAATATTCCTCCTGTAGAGGGACATGCCCGACTTACGTCGAGCTCGAAGAAGGCATCGCATATGGTGTTCAACAGCCTCTCGGGTCGGGCAACATCGTGAAAGGCTTGACGACCTCTGCCGTCCTTCGGCTCGCGCCGGAGCGGCCGCGAGCTGCTCCGGCTTTCCCTGGAGATCCCCGGATTTACCTGGATCCACCCGGATGTGCCTCGATGTACGTGGATCTCCCTGGATCTACCTCGATGTATCTGCATTTTTACCTGGACTTACAGTCGGGGCGTTGACCTAAGAAACCCTAAATAAGGAACGGGGCCCCTTTCTCCCGTAAGTTGAACTTCGATTGTCCATGGAAAACTTCAGGAAAACCCGAGGATCACTGTAAAACAACTAAGGAACACGGAGCCCCTCCCGAACGAAAAGGGTTCCTTCTTCAGGGCCCCGACTGTATCTGGCTCGGTCCCCACAAGCCGCTTGGCCAGGAGTCGACGAGCCCTGCAGGACAAAAAGAAGGGGGGGACTTCGGAGGGAGAGCGGGGCGGCCCGCGGGAGGCGGACAGGGTGGTCTCCTCCAGGAGGAGGAGGAGGAGGAGGAGGAGGAGGAGGAGGAGGAGGAAGAGGAAGAGGAGGAGGAGAAAAAGGAGGAGGCGGAGGAGGAGGAGCGAACCTGGAGGAGGAGGAGGAGGAGGAGGAGTGAGGATGGGAGGGAGGAGGAGGAGGGAGGGGGGGGAACGGAAAACGAGGAGGACAATTGGCGAATCGGCTCGCGCATCTGGTTTGCCTGGCGCCTCCCGGCGCCGGAGGGCGCCAGTGTAGCATGGCAGGTGTGCAGCAGATTTCGTACCCCCCAAACTTCCCAAAGGCCGGGGGACATCCGAGCCTTCTGAGAAGGCCCGGCCCTTCTCACTTCCCCCCTCGCTCGCCGCCGACCTTCCCCTGTCTCCCCCCTTCGTCCGACCCGAGCCTCCGAGAGGCCGTGGCTTCGCTCTGCGTCGTGGCCCTCTCGATCTCTGCGAGGATCTGCGTGCGAACGAAGCTCTCCCAGGCCGCAATCCCTGCGACGAGAAAGACTGCGATGATGATCTCGATGCTCACATACAGTCTGATGGATTCAGATTCGGGTTGTCGGAAATGCACATCCGCCCCCAGCAGAACGACGACCTGCAGAAAGCTGTGCAGAAGCGTGCAGCAAGAGGTAACCCACTTCCGGAAGTATATCATGTTGATGGCGAGGCGCGGTATGATCGTCACGACCTGAACAAGGTGGAACCTGCCCCAGCCGTCTGCGGCAAGGACCATGAGCGCCAACACGGCCACGTGGACGGCGTACCAGCACGTGGCCTCGCAGCGCCGCGCGAGGCGCAGCCTGGAGCCCTCCGCGAGGCGCGCCCGGGCCGCAGACGTGGAGACGAAGCCGACCCAGGTGGACACGTCCATGTACATCCGCCGCCGTGCCTTGCGCACCGCTGGGGCGTGGAGCCCGTGGCCGGCGCCGCCGGCGCGGCGTCCCGGCGCGGCGGGGCCGCCGCCGGGGGCGCCAAGGGGCCCGCAAGAGGCGCCGATCGGCCACGCTCTCCGACGCCGCCCCCGAGATCGTGGCGCGCCGAGGGCCGCCCGAGGGCCGCCCAGCGGCGCATCTGCTGCCGTCGCCGCGGGCAGCGCGAAGGTCCCCCCCCCCGTGCGGCTGCGCTGGGCGGCGGCGGCACGGCGGCCACGGCGGCGGCTCAGCACCCCGGAGCACTTGCTTTGCAACCTCGGGGGACCTCGTCTGTCCCGTCGCGACCCTATCCGCGTCGAATCCGCGTCGAATCCATGTCGGCCTCGTCGGATCCGTGTCGAATCCGTGTCGAATCCGCGTCGAATGCCCGCCAAATCCGCATCGAGGCCGCATCGAGCCCGCGCCAGGCACAAAAAAAGACAACAATTTTGGGGCCTGGCGGGGTCCCCCGAAGATGCAACGTAAGAACACGTGCCGTGCTCCTCTGCTGGCTGGGGAGGCTTCTCTCGTGCTCCCTGGGGCCGGCCCAATCCCCCCGAGGGCCCCAGCGCGGCGGCGGGGTTCTTGCCGCAGGCAGCTGGATATTGTTTGAGCGAGGATTACACGCGATGGTGTTGAACAGAGCCACCAGTGAGACGAGAACCCAGATCAGCTGAACGTATGGAAGGGCAACCTGCATGTGCCGTGAGCGCCACTCGCCGATCGCCTGCTTTTCCAGCTGGCTGCGCATCTCGTCGTTGGCCGTCTTCGGAAAAAACTCGCGCCAACGGCAAAGTTTCGCCCGAATGCAGCCTGAGATGAGTAGCCCATAAACTACCAAACACGCGGTGGAGCATACAATCACAACCCATTCGGAGGGTGAGTACGAGCCGCAGGTCATCTAGAGAACCTCCAGGCCAACTCCCCGGGCTAAATCAGCGACGTTTCGAATGAAGATGCGGGCCTGAGCAAACACACCTTGAGCCAAAATGGCTACGGACTCGTCCATGAAATTGATGGGGCCCACAAACACACAAATTAATACACACAAATAACAGAAATCCCCATATTTTCCCATATTTTCTGGGTTTCTGTCTTCCCCCCACTTCCCATATTTTCCCACATGTTCTGGGGAATCGACGATTAATTGTGGCTGTGTGTTTTTTCCCCTCCTGAGACTCGTCCATGAAATAACCATGCAGCAAAAAAAAATCCTGCTAGAAACGGGCCCCGGACTCGGGGGCTTCCCCCTCGGCCAGCTTCTCCTCCCGAGGCGCTCTCTCACGCTTGCAGGGCCCCGGCAGAGAACTCTCAGGCACAAGACGGCGAAAAACCCTCTGGACCCGCCGGAGATGGGGACCAGGAGCCAGGAAGGGGAGGTTAGCGCAGCATGGCCCGAGGCATGGGGGCGGACGGGGGGGGGGGGGCAGGAAACGCGCTGAAAGAAAGAGATGCCGCCACGAAGTCTGCGAGATCTCACTGCCCCGGCCTCAAGATCCGCCCCCTGGCCCCCGCCCTCTCCGTGGACGCCCCGGCGCTTCTGTCGGGACTCCTCTCCCTCTCGTGGCAGACGAAAAAATGTCCGCACAGCTGCCCCGCCCCTCCATCGTGGACGCCCCCGGCGCTGCCCCCAAATCCCCCCCTTCTCCACTGCACACGAAGAGTGTTGATTCCGGGGCCCATCCCAGCCGGCTCCACGAGTCGCGCCCACCCGCAGCCACGAACGCCCGCAGGCGCGCCCAAAACTCGGCGGCGAGCCCAAAGGGGAAGCGAAACGCTCAGGAGGAGGAGGAAGGGGAGGAGGAGGAGGAGGAGGAGGAGGAGGAGGAGGGCAGAGGAGGAGGGCTAAGGAGGAGGAGGGCTAAGGAGGAGGAGGAGGAGGAGGAGGAAGAGGAGGAGGAGGACGGCGAGGAGGAGGAAGCGGAAGGCGGAGGGCGACGGGCGCAGGAGTTTTCAGCAGCGACCCCAGGAGGGCATGACCATGGTGCACACAGGCGTGCAACAGCCGCCCACCTTCGGTGGACGAGCGTGAAGCACCTATGCGAGCCACCTCGCGGGCCTGAACGGAGAAGGAGGAGGGAGGAGAAGGACGAGGAGGGCGGGGGGCGCAGGAGGAGAAGGGCGGAGGGCGAGGAGGAGGAGGAGGAGGAGGAGAGGGAGGAGGGCAAAGGAGGGGGAGGTGGAGGAGTTGGAGGAGGAGGAGGAGGAGGAGGAGGAGGAGGGCAGAGGAGGAGGAGGAGGAGGAGGAGGGGGAGGGCGGAAGGCGTAAAACGAAAGAGGGGCTTTTCAAAAAAAATATTCAACTCATTTGAACCAACAGTGCGCTGCATGTAATATTAATACCATGAGGTCAGTGGGAAAATTACGCCCAAGCGCGAAAGCACCATGTCCACCGTATGACACGGTAGCGGGTTTTTTTCTATCATTGCTCAAGTGACCTACTACTGGCTGAATATGCCGCCTGAGCGGTGCATTCTGTCGGCACAAGTGCCTATGGCGAATTCAAGTGGCGGGCTGCCCGCGGTGAGTTCAAGTGACGCGCATCCTCTCGAGGTGAATTAAAATGGCGCGCGCGTTTCTCCTCACTTCCCTTTTTTGCAACTGAAGTTAGACGCGCCTGCGCTCTGTCAGCAGACGCAACAATCGAGACCTGTGACTGCAGCACGGGCAAGGCTCGAACATGGGAAGCCTGAGACGCGAGATCCAAGATGGCGAATTGCAAAGGCGGGCCATTGAACTCGGACAAAGATTGGCCAGAGGGAGAACAACACTGAAAGATAAGCGAGGCCGCGCGCATCTGCAACGCACGAAGACTAGCGCCCTGGACCGGGCCGTCGCGGGCCATCCTCACCATGCGCTCAGAACCGCTGATCTGAGTCAGCGCGGAAGGGGTCAGTCCGTCCTCGCCCTCGCTGAACTCGTCGCGCCGGCCGCACCCCTGCAACGAGCTTGCACGGCGGCTTCTCCGCTTCGCGCTCCAATCCGCCCTCGGGCGGGCCACCTGGTTTGAAGGCGCCCAACGCTGCACGCATGCTCTCTCGCGCCGCTTGATGAGCTGGGACACCATGGCCTCGTTCCACTTGATCTGAAATATCTGGGGCTCGGCCGACAACATGAACTGCAGCTTGAACTTGGACGGTTGCTCCTTCCTTTTTTGCCTTTGCACGTCGGGCGGCGGCGGCGGCGATGCCGCGCCTGATCCTGCAACGCCATGAAACTGCACTTTTCCCCTGCTATGTTCCCAGTAGACCTGAAGCGCCTGCTTGCAGTTCTGCGGGGGCTCGAGACGCTCGGGCAGCTCGTTCAGCGACGCCAGCCACGCACGGGGCCGCAGTGGGCCACGTTGACGGCCCTTGCCCGCCTTCCTGCAGCACTCGCAGCACGCGTTACCCGCCTCCTGCAAGGCGATCACTATGGCGCGGGCCGCGGGCGGGATGAAACAGCTGAAGGAGGCGCCAGTGAGATCGGCTACGCCGCGGCTGTTGGCGACGCACAACCGCGCGAGGGCCCTGCCCAGCGCCTTGAAAGGTCCGACCTGCTCGCGAGTCATCTTGTCTTCGGTTCCCCGCTGGAACCCCTGAGTCTCTGTTTCTCGGGACTGCGAGGGACTAGAGGTGGACGCCCCTGGGCGATGGGAAGCCCCCACGCTGGGAGCCCGAACTGCCGCGCTTGCCCGGCCGGGCTGCCGGACGCCGACGCCGCCGCCAGCGCCCACCCGGGCCCCCCAGCATCGCGCACCATTGGCAGAAGGGCGAAGAGCTCGCGACAATGCCGACGAAGCCGCCGACGTCGCTCGAGCCGAGGCGTCACCGAGTGCGCGCGCTGGTGCCGTTCTCACAAGCTGTCCTGAACGTGTGAGAGCTGCCTCGAATACTGACTCCCCTCCTAAGCGAGTCCACCAGATGCTTGCAAGCGGACCCCCGGCCTCAAATATCTGCCCCACCCACCCACCCACCCACCCACCCACGAAGAAAAAAGGACGAAAGAAAAAAGAAAAAGGCCTGCAGCCAGGAGCCCTCGGATACTCTCTAAGCCGCGACGCTGGCGTAGATGACTGGTAAGTCGCCGCTCAGTAGACAACGACCTCCTGCGCCCTGAGACACAGCGCCGCGCCCATCATCCTCATCTTGGGCTTCCGGGGCGGCCCCAGTGGATTAGGAACGCCTTGCGCCTGGAACCCCGGAGGGGAAGTCAGAGGTCACAGCCCACGCCGCTGCTCGCAGCCGCGGGGGGGCAGAGCGACCGAACCAATCAAAAAAATCAGGATCATCAAATAACGGAAATTGGCGACGGCCCCATTCATCGATTTGTCTGGAATGCCCCCCCACCCAAGCGGCCCGATGCTCTGGATATCCCGGAAGAACCCACGCGCCCGCGGTGAGGTGCGAGATGCGAGGTGTCCGCGCGCATCTATAACATGGAAGTTCCTCTCGCGCCCTGCGCGGCCAGCAAAGAACAGCGCGCCCCAGACAGCAGCACGGCAACGAGACTCAAGAATCCCCTCCTGGTACCATTTCAACCGACGGAATCTGAGGTCAACCTGTAAAGTGGCAAGTCTTCCAATCAGCAGCACTCTCGTAGCAGGGAGGGAACGCCAATGGCCCTGATGCCTTTTCTGCCGCCGCCCCTCTCAACGCACGCCCAACGAACGCCGCCACTGCATGCTGAAGCCCGGTGATCTGCGACGACAGCGGGGAGGAACGCCTCGAGCGCCGATACCGAAGCGCCTGCAGCTGCACGCAGACACACAACGCGCTCCTCGACAAAAGGGGGCCCGGTGTCGATACCGATATCTCGGGAGCGGCCAAGAGGGGGGTGTCCAAGAGGGGGGGGGGGGGGGGGGGGGGGGGGGGGGGGGGGGCAAATCATGACCGGCAGCACGCGCGCGGCCCAGCGGGGGGCCAGGACGCAGTGTAATAAGAAGAGGCGCCATGAAATCTGGGGAGATATCATGGCCCCCGCCATGATATCCACCCCCCCCTAGTCATCATCACCCCCCTCTTTTCCGCCCCCGAATATCGCGCCAGCCGAGGAAGCCGACAACCGGGGTTCACATCCACTGATCAACTTGCCACCAAAGCGGATCAAGGAAGCAAGATACTCTGAAGGGGCCCTGGGACACACAAATAAGTACACACAAATAAAAGGACCCCCCATATTTTCCTATATGTTCTGGCTTTTTGTCCCCCCCCCAACTTCCCATATTTTCCCATCTTTTCTGGGGATCGACGATGAATTGTGTCTGTGTGTGTTGTTTCCCTCCTGATGCTCGGCCACCGAAGTAAGGGCACCCCGGCGGCCACGGGGAACGCACCAGCTCGGGCACGTTGCACACGAACCTGTTGCCCACGACCACGGAAGGAGACAGCGCCAACACTCTTGCTGGACTTAAGCATAAAGTTTCGCCCGGTTAGACATTTACCAGCCTGGAACATGTCCCTATCCCTATGCTGGGCATCGCCCCATCACGATGCCAATCTTAGGGGTTCCCTTATTTTTGGAGGGCGCACCCCTAAGATTGTCATCGCCTTTTGGCGTGTCAATCTCCTCAGGGATAGGGATATGTTCGAGGCTGGTAAGACATGTAGATAGCACCTGGTTGCACAGGACACAGGAGGGACTGTCGACTCCAGGAGAGAGCGCCACTCTCCCTGGGGCAGGCCACGAGCTTGCGGAGCGCACTGTCACCTAGCCGTGAGAAGCCAAGCCTAGCTCGAGAAATCTGCGCCCTCCAGGGTGCAAGTCGACAACGCACCAATTCGCAGTCGGCTCTCCTGTCGCCGCGCACTGCCCCTGGGCTCCCTCATTGCAATCTCTGGCATCTCGAGAAAAACACTTTGACAGCCCACGGGCCCGCCCTGCAGCGCACCCGCCCACGGCTTAGCAAATCGATGTCCATCTAGACTTCGAAGACAGACAGCTGGGAATCTAAAGCATTGTTCACCATAGACGTGCCCCCCTCCCAGTTCGCCCTCTCCTACGCCCCCAAACTACTGGACCCAACAACATTCATAAAATCCCCAAAGTCACTGGCGAACACAAGTCCGAGTCGGCATAGCCTCAAACCGAGAACCTGCAGAGCAAGAAACGGCGTCCCTCTTCGCCGTCGAAAACGACAGGCCCCCCTCATCCTGCCGCTGTGAACTAATGCGCGCAGCAACGAAGGCCTTGCCATAAGGACGTAGCACACGCACGACCCGTTTCCAGGACAGCGCAGCGGCCTCGGATAAATGCCAAAACCAAAGGACCTGTGGCGATCGCCGAAGCCTGCGCACCAGGCAGACAGACAGACAGGCCCGCGTTCCAGCCCCTGGGGGCGGTCCTCTAAGAGGGCAGGCGCATGGGACACGCGGCCCCCCGCATTGGGAGAGACTACTGAGTTGTCGCTGCATTAACAGATTTGGGAAAACGTAAGAAAAATACACCAGGCTCAGAAACTACCTCGTCGCAAACCCATCCTCTAACTCATTCCACGCATCGTGTGATAGTGCATAACTTTGCCACGAAGTGTAAATACCTTGCGTGTAGATTTACTCGCGGACGTCGTCATCCCAGCGTCTCCACATTCGGAAGCAAGAAGTCCACGGAAACAAAAAGTCTGCGCACCAGGGAAGCCTGCGCACAAGGGAAACAAGAAGTCCACGGACCGTCTTCAGTTCCACATTTGGGGCCTCGCATCCTACTCCTCGATACATCTTGGAGGCTCGCTCATGGGGTAAAAGTATATCCGGGAAAATCTCCATGGGAACATACCATGTCGGAACTGCTCGCTTCGCCCTGCTCTCTGCAAATATATCTTGATCAACTTGAGTTCGCCCCGAACGAACCCACTGCACCCCCTGCTTCGTGCACCCGCACAAGACAAATTAGCCCCCTGCCCTTCTGCAGGGTGATTCCCATGATGCGTAGCATACTCGGCCCAGTCGATGGGCCCCGCACACATGCCTCGCAGGGAAGAAGAGAGGAGCCATCTATCCTGGAGCTCCTCACTCGTGGGGAGGGCCGAAGGAGGACAGCGATGGTTTCTTTTCTGTGGCCCCGTCCCCCGAGCAGAGAGCAACCTAGATGGCCTGGCCACGTCGGCCTGTCTGTCACGCAGCAAGGCATCCTTGAGGTCATCGGTGGCATCGGCTCTCCATTGCTCAAGGCATGAACGCCGAAGAGAACGAAGTTGCTTCGACTCGACACGAATTTCCTCAGAAATGGAGGATGGCCCCATTGGAAATAGGGCCTGAAAGCTCGAGTCGCAGACCTCGCCGACTTTGAAGATGCTCAAAGATATGCTCGACCCTGTCTGGATAATCTGGAGATCTCTGAACAGCTCCAGCGAAACGTTTCTCGGCCGTCTGACCGAGGGCGTGGACGAAGTAGCCCCATTCTGCATTGGGAATCCGCCCATCACGCCGATACTGACTCCACCCCTCCTGTTCAGCCATGGTTTTGGCCTCCAATTCATGCACTCAGCACGACCGCTCCACATACTCTAACTAGCCATAAACGCCCCCTTGTTCCGTAGAAAGTGCCTGGGACAAAAACCTAGTCGAAGATTCCCCTGAGTCCAGTGGCCTCTGAACCTGCGGTGTCTTCGGGGGCGTAGGTGAACCGAACATGTAGGGGGAGGTGGCCACGGTGTTTACGATGTTTGATCAGCTGAAGCGTCCTGGCTAGTGTACGCAGTGGGCCTGCCGAGGTCACCTGCTCGAGGGCATACTTGTCACTGCACCGACCTTGCAGACGTGCTGCAGCGGATGCCAATGCAAAAACCTGAAACGGCGAATGATAAAAATAACTGGATTCCGTGTGGATTTGTTACTCGTCTGGATTTTTGTGTCGTCACACCTGGCCAAAAACATCAGCGCGAAACTCACCTCGAAATACGGAACGCAATTCTCCAGGACACTCCAGGCCCATCCGATCGCTTTCCGAACGAAATCCGCTCTGCGGTGTTGGCGCCATGACACTTAGGTATAGACACTATAATCTAGCATTGAACGACTTCCAGTGGACCCGTAACAGGGAGGATCCGGGACGATGTGCAAGTTGGCAGGGAAGAAACTAAAAGCATGGAGCACTTGCATCATGACATCAGCAGCACACCGCTGCTTGCCAAGAGGCGTTTTGAACCCGATGCGGCTATTTTGCCTGACCGTCCAGTCTTCGCTCTCACTGAGTCGCTGCAGCCCAAAGCCAGAATTGAGGTCAATGGCCAGGATCGGGAAACACCGAGAAACCGCTAGGACCGGCAAAGACCGAATACAGTTGCCGATGTGGTCACACGTGTTTACGTGTCCAGGATATTTGGAAGCTCACCGAAGTAGGGGTAGGAAGTAGACACTGGCAGTCCCCACGTCATATTGACTGCAGCGGGCAGTGAGCGCTACCCCTCGCCCAGCGATGTGGGGAGGGGCAGGTGTGGGTGACCGCCGTGCCGTGGCGCAGCCACGGCCCCAGCCCGATGGTGACCCCGCGCTCTTGTTGCTACCTGGGTTACGCGCCCACACAGATTCCACCGCCCACCTCTTCCCAGCTCTCCTCCATGCATTCTCCTCCTTGCCATGTTTGCGAGCCCCCGCCCCTGTCAGACACACACAGTCAAGTCCTGTAGTAACCTGTTTGATATCCTGCAGGCGGTCGTACGAGCTCGCCGACAGAGGGCTGTACTGCAGTACTGGCACACCATTAAGCCTCCTCGTAGATACTACTGATGGTCAGCAGCGATCTCGTATGCAACTGAACCCAAGACAAACAAGCATCAAGGGAGAAGCATCGAGCAGGTGTGGCAGTGTGCAGCACCAACAAGAGTGTATGGAGGTATTAAATGTACCCCATGTACTTCGTTATCAGAATCGCCCCCCCAGCATGTGCCAAGGTGCTTGAAGGGCGGAGTAGGAGGAGGAGGAGGAGGAGGAGGAGGCAGCAAAATGGGGCAGGCCTTCTCAGAAGTCTGCGGGGCTTCTCGGAAGCCGTCTCGCCCTCTGAGAAGCCGTCAGTTGCTTCGGGGAAGGCCTTTGAGACTCCTCAGAGGGCGCGAGGGTTTTGCGAGAAGCCCCGCCGCCTTCTGAGAAGGCCTGCCCCCTCTCACTTCCCCCCTTTGGGCTCGCCGCCGAACATCGCCGATATATTGCCCATGCACCGGCCACGTCTGGACGGAGGATGGGCCTCAACATCACGCGGAACCGCCGATCGACAAACGCCGTCGACAAACGCCGCTGGCGCTTGTCGCCGCCGACAAACGCCTTTGGGCACGCTCGACCTCCTCCTCCCTCCTCCTCCTCCTCCTCCCTCCTCCTCCTCCTCCTCCTCCTCCCTCCTCCTCCTCCTCCTCCTCCTCTCCTCCGCCTGCTCCTCCTCCCTCCTGCTCCTCCTCCTCCTCCTCCTCCTCCTCCTCCTCCTCCTCCTCCTCCTCCTCCTCCTCCTCCTCCTCCTCCTCCTCCTCCCACCCCCGGCGCCGCCGACGAGCGCCTCCGAAGTTAGGCCGCTGACTCTGCCGCCATCGGACGGCGGCGCCGCCGCCACCAGCGGTGGGGGGCCCATAGCCAGCCTGCGACGCCTGTTGCGCCCAGCCCAGCGGCGCTCAGCCCCGAGAGGCTCAGGAGCGAGC